TGAAGTGGATGGGTGGGATATTAATATGACTATATGAGTCTCGGTCCTGTTTGCTGCAGGGTCAGCCTCCCTAAAAATCCGATTTTGTAACCTATTAATTTTCACTGATCTGTCTCCCATAATTTTCACTGAATTTTCCTGATTTTCACTGACGTTATAGGAGAACAACAAGAAGATATCACACTGATTTTTTTCTTTTATGTTTGGAATAGTCAAGGATTGTCTTGGATTTGGGGAATCATTCAGAATCACCTGTAATTTAAACCTTATTTTTGTTTGTTTTCTGGCAGTGATAGAGACCTGTGGCCTTTACATTCATACTGAATATTAGGACCAATCCCGTCCCCCATAATGTTCCCACATTCACACAGAAGGGGCTCTTTTGTACCCTGAACTCAAGTTCATGAGCATAACTGACACTATTATAGTGGCTATCACCATTCATACACTTGTTCATTCTTTAATGCTAAGATCTTTCTAGAACACCCAAGGGTAGGATTGCTTCTAACTGGTGCAAGTTCAAACTTGTCATGATCTACTCAACAAGATCTGTAGCTAACTCAGACAAGAGCAAACCATCAGTTTTCCAGTTAATTCCTCTCCCCAATTGTTTCTTACAAAGGTATTGGAAAGAAAATGCAGTGGTACTTAGGGGAATTTAATTATATTTATGGGATCTAATCATAAATAGGTAGCCAGTAAAATTCAATGAGACATTGTTTCACATCTAGGAATCTGTATATAAATCATCTATATAATTGAAATATGTTTCTATATAATAAGGCTATTAGAAAACTGACATATTTAAAAGAGAATAAAAATGTAGAATTCTGTACCTTGATTTATGAGATGACACCATGTGTTTGAACAGCACATGTGTTTATGCTGTTAAAGCACTTTTACTTCATCTGGTTGTGACTTTATGTTTATTTTTTGAGTTGGAGTCTCACTCTGTCACCCAGGCTGGAGTGCAGTGGCACACTTCCGGTCCCCACAGCCCCGACCTGCTGGACTCCAGCGATCATTCCACCTCAGCCTTCCAAGTAGCTTGAATTACAGGCGTGTGCTACCATGCCCGGCTAATTTTTGATTTATTGTAGAGACGAGGTCTCGCCAAGCTGCCCAGGTGGGTCTCAAACCTGTAGGCTCAGGCAATCCTCTAGCTTCGGCCTCCCAAAATGCTGGGATTACAGGCTGAGCCACTGAGCCTGGCCCTGGTTGTGACTTTAAATGGAATCAGTCTCCTCCATGGGGCACAAAATGGCCTCCAATCCTGGCCCCAGCTTTAATCTCTTCTCATGTCAGTGGCAGACAGACCAAATTTCTCCTCTTCTTGTGAAAGTCTTTGCTCTGTACAGGCCATTGTGTTACCTGTGTTCAGTTTATCTTTCCTCACCCATATCTCTTGGACCAACTCCTGTTTGTCATTCAAGAGGCCCTTTATCAGTCAAGTCACCTGGATCTTAACAAGGGAATTCCTGGATGGATCCACTGATCCATCAGATGGTCATTGCAGTCTCCCCTATACTGTATCATCTGGCCACTTCTCTGACTCCCTAAGATGACTGCTAGCATCTCCAGGGTGGGGAAGCAGCCTCTCATCCCCAGGGATGTGTGCTGCGGACCAGCCTAGGGCAGAATGCTGATAAGTAAACAGCAACTCTATGCATAGTAGCAACACTGTTTCTAGCTAACAATTATTATAAACTCACTACGTACAAGCAGCTTTCGAATCATTTTACTAGCATAATTTATTCTATCATTACCACAAATCTACGAAATAAGTACCACCTACAACATATAGATAAAACCTAAAAATAAACCTGATTAAGTCACTTTTCTAAATTCAAACAGCTTAGAAGTGGCAGAAGAAAGAATTGAACCTGGAAAGCGCAGAGCATATGACTCTAGAATTCTGCCTCTCTAGACACAGTAAGCTTTTTCTATTTTCATTCTAGAGATAAGTGGAACAAAAAAATCCAAATTAAATCATTTATTTCAACAAGACCATTTAGCTAATGAGTATAAAAGACATCATTAGATTTCAAGCGGTTTTACTCCTCTCCTGATTCTTTTTTAATGCCATATACTTCGTTGCAAATTTTTCCCCTTTTTTTATCTCAGAAATACATACAGGTAATAGAAAATATGTTTGAATAATTGTCTGCAAATATGACTACCAAAGCTTCCTCCCTTCACTGTACATAAAAATGGTGCTTCCCATGAAGTCTATTTTCCTTCCCCTTGGACTGGCCTTGTCAGTTGCCTTGACCAATGGGCCATGGAGAAAGTGACCCTGTCCCAGTCCCCACCCGCCCCCAGCCCTTGAGTGACCTTGAATTGTCTTTGTTTTCTGTCTTGGTGAACTCAGCTATCATGTAAGAAATGTGACCACCTAACTGAAGACCAAAGCTCTCAGCTGTCCCTTCACCAGTTCAGACACCCCAACCAAGGAGTTAGACAGATGAGTGAAGGCATCTTGGATGCTTCATCCTCAGCTAGATCTCAGCTGAAACCACCGCATAAATGTCCCTAGGCCAGCCTGGCCAACAAAAGCGTTAACAAAAAAAGAGTAAACCATTGTTTTAAGTCACTAAGTTTCGGAGTGCTTTGTAATGCAGCAGTATCAAACTGAAGATAATATAATTGGAAAATTCACCTTGAAAAAGAAATTACAAATTCTAAATATCTCTCATCCATGGAACAATCTTATTGTAAATTTTTTTTTTTTTTTAGTTGGAGTCTCACTCCACCGCCCAGGCTGGAGTGCAGTAGCACTCTCACAGCCACCCCAGCGTTGACTTGCTGGCCTCCAGCGATCCTTCTACCTCAGCCTTCCAAGTAGCCAGAACTACAGGCATGCATTACCACGCCCAGCTAATTTTTTGATTTATTGTAGAGACAAGATCTCACCAAGTTGCCCGGGCTGGTCTCGAACCCATGGGCTCAGGCAATCCACTCACTTCAGCCCCCTAAAGTGATGGGATTACAGGCTGAGCCACTGAGCCCGGCCCTCTTATGGTAAATTATTGTTGGCCTCTGTGCTCATGTAAAACTCAGGACGCAACACCTTTGCTGCAATTATTCCTCTGTCAAACTAGACCAAAAATGAAAATAGGTTTTTTCCCCAAAAACTTATATTTCATTTTTCTTTTCTTTGTCTCTGTGTGGTACTATCTCGAATATTTCTCTTCTGCAAGCTGCTAGCTGGGTTCTGCCAGTCATTGGGTACCTGGCAGTCCTCTGGTTCTCACAGCTGGAGCCTGCCAGCTCTAAGATATGGCTCAGCCAGTGACAGGAACTGAGCTCATGTTGCCCAAAGTCACAAGGAAGAAGCAAAGTTCCTGTCAGGATCCTGGGGATGGCTTTCATCAGGTTAGCTAGAGTGTTATTACCAACTGATTTCCAGGTCTCTCTTCCCTGGACCTTGAGAATTGGATCCTTTCACCCCTGGTCATATAACCACTCACAGGTAGGAGAAATTGGACACTTTGTGCCAGTTCTTGTCCTGACACATTTATATTTATAATCTCTATAAAATATAAAATGTTCTCTTTATTTATAATCTCTAAGAAAAAAAAAAAACTTGTGGAGGATGGATTTTTATCCTTGTATTTCGGGTGAGGAAATAAAGCTAAAGCTATGGATAATGCCTGAGGACACACAACTGGCTCATGAATGTCAGGGTCCAAGATTCTTTCTGCAAACATCATGAACTTCTTCTGTTGGATGTGTGGGGGTGAGTGTAATACAGGGTGGCAGAAAAGGAGGGAACTGCTGGATTCCTGAATTACCCTAAATCTATTCTGGACATAGGAGAGTGGGTGGCCACCTTTTTCCAGTTATCAGATGCCTGATTTATTCCCAGGAGAGAGGAGTGAAGTGGAAGAGAAGGAACACCCTGGAAATAATGAAGCTCAAGTATTACCTAACATTTACTCTGCCCATCATTATCAGGACAGAAGCAGGAGGTCAGAAGTGTCTTTCTCTTTATAGACCACAGGCTTGAGTCAGCTTATTGATAAAAAATCATAGGCCTTCTCTAAGTCCTCTTGAATGACCTGAGGAAACAACTCCCCCCTCCAGAGCTCCCCAAGGTAGAACTAAGCAAATTACTGCATCTGTACTCCTAACTTGTGGGTATTCAATTGCATGTGATTTTACTCACCATAAATCATTGCCAATTCCAGATGAATTTTACGAAGTGTAGTTATGACCAGAATTCCTAACTGTACTGCTTCAGATTTCTATAACATTTTTGGCTTCTCTTACTTTAAAATTAAACAGATTTTCCACAGCTTTGTCTTTTTATTTCCTTAATTTCTCACCCCTTACCCTTAAATCTTTCTACTTCTTCTTCAGGTCTCCCTAGTCTACAAAGTTCTCCTAAATTTGCCAATGTAACCCTCTTATATTTCTACTAGTTAATATTATGTTTCTTTAATGCTGGTGCTGTAAGTTCTATATTTCTGACAATATTCAAGGACAGCATACCTGCTTGGAGCTCTGTATACTAATTTAATATTCCAGCCTCCTCAGATTAGGATCTGGGTTTCCTTGGCACTCCTCTCAAGCTTGCAAAGTCTTTGAACCCTTTATTGTGTGTATATCCACTGTCTACTCCCTCAGTCCTTTGTGCCCAGTTGATTACCAGATTCTCTTTAACAACAGACTTCTCCTTACCCACTTTCTGAATATCATTTCCCACCTGTTTTCTTTCTGACTTGACTTTAACCAACCCTCCATAGTCAGTTTGTACCTAAGTAACCCTCCCTCCAGGGAAAGTATATTTTTCTTAAGGCAGGTCTCCCTTGCAATAATATACACACACACCCACCTCCAGCAGTTGTTCTGCATTTCCAAAATTCACTCAACCAACATGCAACAATGATTGAGTAGTTCTATGTGTTTTGTACTCTGCTGTGCTTTGGCATGCAGTGATAAAGGAGGGTGATGTTCACCACTGGGGACAAGTACTCCATTGCCATTCTTCTACTCACCTGTCTGCCCAACAATGGAGGCACTCAGTCTGTGGGGGATCCTTGAGGACACCTTCAAGGTCACTCGGATCTGGTAATACCTAAGAGAAGAGCAGAGGACAGGTTGCTGAAGATCAGGCTCTTTAATGCTGATGTCTAAAAATACCTAGACATAGTCCTGAAATCCACAGGAAACCAGGGAAGTTTCTTGGCAGTATGCACGATCATCTGGCATCGATGGAAAATGCATTTTATCAATAGAGTCAGATAGGAAAGAGATGGGCAATACTGAAAGGGGGAAGTTGAGTTCACTTGAGATCATACAAGACTGAATAAGCTTGGAGGTGATGGGAAGAGAGAAAAGAAATAGATAGTGAATGTCACACAGTGACATTAAGGGATGCAGGTTTTTAGTCTGAAAAGTTAACTGTTGTAGAAAATTGATTCTCTAATGTATGATGGAAAATTCATAGACAAATTGAGCTTCTATCATGTTGCAACACAAAATATCACTTCCTTTAGAAAGGCAGGCGCTGAGTTGTTTCTCTTGGGAATATAACCAAACACTTTTCTCAGTGGATTTCTGTTCTCTGTTTTTAGTATATCACTCCCATTTCCAAATTCCATAACTTTAGGCCATTGTGCAGGTTTCCATAGGGTCAATAAATTATCTTATATGCCCTCTTTTGCCACAAGCCCAAAAGCATCTTTAGAAATTCTGTGCTTTGAAATTAATGACTTTTTGCTTGTAAGCACTTGGGAACATTTATGCTGTCATAATTGTTCTCCTCTTCCACTGATTTAAAACCCGTTGTAAACTGAATGTGAATAAAACAAAGTGAAATACAAGGAAAATGGACCATGAACACATCAGTTTTCATGGCTCGTTGAGTTCATAGCTGGGGGAGTACTCTGCTGCTGAAGCAGTTGCACTGTGAATATACTTATGGAATGTTTCTGTTGGCAGTCCCATTTTTGTTTTTATGTGTAAATGATGAACAGAGGAGATTAGAGCAAATAACTCTGGCATGGAATTCCTAGTGTTTCATATATTCCTAAGTACTTTGTGTAACTTCTCTAAATTTGTTTCTGTACCTATTAAATGAAGATTTTTTAAAAGTACCTGTCATGACTTCTGCTTCCAGAAAGATAGAATAGACATACTTTCTCCTGTTCTCCACACTTAGCACAACTAAAAATTCTAGATGGCATATATAAAACAAACAAAAAGAATCTTAAAGGTAGAGAAAAGAGCAGACAGACTAGGGACCTGAGGACCCAAGCAAAGACATGTGGGTGAGTTCTCTGCTTTTTTATTTTTTATTTTTGCCTCATATATCTCAGACTGGATGCCAAAAGGCAAATGCTAAGAGCCATATTTTAAAAATAAAATAAAAATAAATAAATAAAGGTCCAAGAAAAATGCCTGCTCCCTGGACTGGATTTAAAAAAAGTGGAACATATACACAATGAAATATCATGCAGTCATAAAGAAGGACAAATATATGGACTTCGCAGCAACTTGGATGGATTTAGAGTGAATCATACTCAATGATCTATCACAGAAACAAAGAACAGAGTACCCTATGTTCTCACTCATAAGCAGCCCTTGAACAATTATCATAATACTATAAGAAAGGGATTGGCAGTAGTGGGAAACTAAGAGGGGGAGACTGGCAGTTGAGGGAAACTGCCAGGGGAGGGAGGGGCACACCTCATCAACAAGGGTACCTGTATAATGAACATTTGTATACCTAACCCTGAATTGTACCCCACATCTTTAAAATAAAAAACAAAGAAAGAAAATTTTTTAAAAATATGCCTGCTCCCTGTAGCCAAAGGATCAGGAAGGGACCAGCCTAGCAAGACAGAAAACTTTTAGATAATAGCTTTCTGCTTCAGCCAACCAATACAAAAAAGATGATGGCCTCACCTTCACTCATATCAGCAAAGGTGGAGTGGGAAGTCTTGACATTCATTATTGCCAGGTTGTGAGACAGTACTGCCCCTCCACCTCCAACATTCCAAGAGAAGGTTTCCAGAAGGAAGTCAGGTTTTCATCTCTAATGGGTGGTAGAGAACCTCACCTCCCACCCAGTTTAAGTAGAGACCATGTAGAGGGCTTGGACCTCCACTTCTCACCCAGCATTAACAAGGGCATAAATATGCCCATGTGATTATTGACAAAGATGCAAAAGCCATGTAATGGATACAGGACAGCCTTTTAAAATAAATTTTCCTGAAGCAATTGGACATCCATAGGTAAAATAACAGCAAACAAACAAAGCTCAATTTTAATTTCACATCTTATGTAAAAACTAAAGGAAGATTATAGGTTTAAATGAAAAATACATAACTACAAAACTTTTAGGAAACATAGAAAAACTTTTAAATATATTCTAAATATAGAACTAAGCAAAGAGTTTTTAGACTTGACACACAAAAAAAATCCATAAAATAAAAAAGTTGATAAATTTGTACTTCATTAAAATTAAACATTTTTGTTCTGTGAAAGACCCTTCAAAGAGGACTAAAATGCAAGCTACAATGTGGGAAAACACATTTGCAAATCACATGTAGTCAATCCTTAGTATTTATGGGTTCTGTGTTTGTGGGTCTTTCTAATTATTTGATACTTTGGAGTTCCAAATGAAATGCTCACAGCACCTTCATGGTCATTCACAGACATGGGTACAGTGGCAAAAAATAGAAATCTTCTGATACCCAGGTTCCCAACTGAAACTGAACCAGATCACAAGCAAGTATCTTTTCTGCTGTATATTGTTCCACATATTCTGTACTTTGTGCTTTTTGTTGGTGATTCTGCTGTTTAAAATAGTCCCAAAGTATAGGGCAGAAATGCTGCCTAGTGGTCCTAAATGCAGGTATGCTGTGATGTGCCTTGTGAAGAAAATATGTATATCAGATGAGTTTCATTTAGCTATGAATTATAGTACTATTGGTTGAGCTCAATGCTAATGAATAAACAATACATATTAAGTAAGGTGTCTTTAAACAGAAACACATAAAACCAGGTTATGTATTGATCAGTTGACAAAAAATGTGGCCAAAGGCTCACAGGAGCCTATCTCTATGTTTCCCCAAGGAACAATAGTTCAGTATTTGCTAATTCAGTGCTCATGGTGGCGTTGTTGAACATACTACTGTGAATAATGAGAATTCACTATCTGACAAAGGACTATTGCCTAGAATATATTAAAACCCCTCAAAACTCAATAATAAAGAGAAACAAACAAACCAATTTTAAAAGAGGATGAACACATGAAGAAAAATTTCACTAAAGAGGACACACAAGGACAAATAAGCCTAAGGAGAAATGTTCAAATGTTCATACTACCAAAAGCAATATAGAAATTCCAGTTGCATTTTTCGTAGAAATAGAGAAAAACAATTTAAAAATATGTATGAAATCACAAAAGATCCTAATAGCTAAAACAATCTTGAGAAAGAAGAACAATAAACAAAATAAAATGGCAAATATATCAGAAAATATCTGCAAGCGCATATCTGATAAGAGGTTAATATTAAAAATGGATGAGAAACTCATACAATTCAATAGCAGATGAAAACATAATCCAATTAAAAATGGGCAAAGAACCTGAATAGACATTTTCCAAGGAAGACATTCAAATGACCAATATGTACATGAAAAGGTGCTCAATATCACTAACCATCAGGGAAATGAAAATAAAAATTACAGTGAGCTATTACCTCCCACCTATTAGAATGATTATTATGAAAAAGACAAAAAATAACAAGTGTTGGTGAGAACTTGGAGAAAAGAAAACCCTTGTACGCAGTTGGTTGGAATGTAAACTGGCACAGCCATTATGGGATGTGGAAATTCCTCAGAATCCTAAAAATAGAACTACCATATGATCCAGAAACCGCTATGCTGGTATAGACCAAACAGAAATAAAATCAGCACCTTGTGGAGAAATCTGCACTCCCATATTCACTGTAGCTTTACTCATAACAGCAAATATATGGATAAAACCTAAGTACCCATCAATGGATCAATGCATAAAGAAATGATGGAAGATTATATATACACACATATATCCCAGTGATGCCAGGATACAAATAACATACTTTAAGAGATGTTATCTATGTATTAATTTTAGTTAGTCATAATCAGAAGTGTCTGGACACTGATGATAACCACTTTGAGCACCTCTTATAATTGCAGAAGTCAAATATAACTTGTATTCATCTTTTGTTTTATATATATATATATATATATATATATAGAGAGAGAGAGAGAGAGAGAGAGAGAGAAGAGAGAGCATGACAATTTTAACACAGTTTTTTTCCCTTTCTTAAAATGTGTATACATTTTTGGCACTCTTTGTGTGAATATGTGTGTACACATAAAATGAAAAGTTATCCACCATAAAAAAGAGAATACTGTCATTTGTAGCAACATGAAGGAAACTAGAAAACATTATGTATACGTGAAATAAACCAAATGCAGAAAAAAATACATGATCTCACTTGTATGTTGAACAATAGAAAAGTCAAATACATAGATCATAAAATAGAATGATGTTCACCATGGGCAGGGAAGGGAACAAAATGGGGAGATGAAGGTCAAAGTGTACAAGCTAGTAAGTACATAGTATGATTAAGTCTAGAGATTTAATGTACTGCAGGAGGACTACAGTTAATAATATTTTAGATGGGATGGGAAGCAAGATGGCGATGGCATAGGTGAACTGGTGAGATTCTCTGAACGTGAGTTCACAAAAAGGCTATTACTTCTCTTCCCCCATCCCCCAGCCCACCACCAACCGTGCTGGTGCCAGGCCCGAGAACTTCGGTCCTACGCAAGGCCAGATATTGCGCCCCCCCCACTATTGCTGCTGTTCTACTGCGTGTGTGGAAGTCTCCGGTCCCAGCCCCCTCCAGATCCCTCCCCGGCTGCATTGTCTCCAGCCCGGCACCCGGCACCAAGCAGCCAGTCACACAGGGAGGCTCTGGGTGCCCGGCCCTCAGAGACACCGGTCCCATTCCTGGCTGAAGTACCCTGTAGGGGGCTTAGAGCCACTCTCACCACCCACTGCCTGCCCTTTGGAGCTTT